AACGTGGTTCTCAGGCTGCACTGTCTTCACATCGTAGAAATAAATCCTCGACTGAACGGGAGCAGTAACTCAGAAGACGATCCGTGCCTGGATCAACTTTAAAATCCAGCGTGAGATTCTTTCAGTGCTTTTTTTTTTTTTTTGGTGACACACCCGGCCTAATTTAGTCTGAAGCGGTTTGGACACATTGCTTTTCTTTTTGCCTCCAGTTTTCCTTCAGGGTTTTTTTTGTTTTTCCCCTTCAAACATGTAGACCTCTCCAGCAGCATTCCTTATCAGAGGAATGTCAACAGACCACACCGCCCGCCTGCCCTCTGATGCTTTTTACCTCGTTATTGTCGCTTCTACAAAGCCTGCGTCGTGTTGAGGAGATCCTGAAGCTCCGAAGACATTTAGACAAGTGAGCCGAGTCTTTTTCACGACGTTGGCGTTAAATTTTAGATCAAAACCAGCTTGATAATCATAAACCACAGCTCAGGGTTATGGATTTTCACGTGTGGAAGCTGTCCAGATGGATTGAAGCATTTTATCAAATTTAGCTCATTTTCAGCGTACAACAGGTCTTATAGAGAAACAGATGCACAACTCACACCTATTAATATGTAACTGTTCGTTTGATCAGCATTTAAATCATTCATTAGTCAAATGGTGTCCTGACCTCGTCATGACTTAGTCATTAAAGATTAATAAATGAGAGAATGACTCCATTAAATCTTTCTGAAAGTTAAAATAAGATGAATGGAGACTTAAGACGTATTAGTAAAGCATTTAACATTGAGCTTTCCACCTGATGGAGACCTTTTTTTTAGACTGTTTCTTTTTTCTGACATAAGTTATATTTGATTTACATTCAGTTTTCATAGATATTTAAAATTCCCTTTATAGAGCTGAATTTTCATCTCTTCTTGTGTTTTTTCTGGCAAACTCCAATTGGGGTTTCGTGTTACTTTCTTCCCATAGCGGCGGACTGTTTTGCATAAGATTATAGATCTGATTATCTGTAAATACATTCCAGGTGTCTAAACACGTGTTTTGACTGGATACGAGTACATATACATGGTCCTGAATATTTAATTTAAGATATCAGTTTCTGACTAGTAAGAATAATTCAACATATTTTCAATTACATTTTAACGAGTCAGGATATCTCACCGGATTGGTCATTTGACGGATCTCACATCCAACGTAATAATGACAAGTCAAAATGACATTTTTAGAATCACATGTAAGTCCTCTGGTTCTGCCGCTGAGCTGTCCAAACGGTTGTCTGCGGAAATAAAACTGTCAGAATGACGCCACAATGCAGAAAGAGCCTGTTGGGACGTTCGGAGAATGTGAACTTTGTGAACTTGAAGGTTGCTGCAAGAAATCGGTAAAGAATTTCCCATTTGTTCTCTTCTGACAAACAACAAAACTTTTTTCTTTGAAGAGCAAAAACCGCCACTGATCAAGGAGAATTTTCAAAAAATCTTTTTTAATTTGTTAAAGTTTTTAATTTTTCATTGAAATTTCAAAATGCTGCATAAATCTGGGACATTTCGACAAGACGTAACAATTTTTCAAGGTTTCCATAATGTCATTCTGACTAGCCAGAATCTTAATTCAGGATATATTAAATAGAAAAGCTGTCTGGACGTTTCAGACGTCTCTAATTCATTTGGAAATATATTAAAAGGATTTTGACCTGTCAAAATTATAATTACAGATATCTTAATTTATTTATATGTCCAGTCATAAAAGAAATGTCTGATATGTGGGATGTAAAAGTGGTTTGTCACTGTTGCCCTGCAGTGAGCCGGTGATGCCCTCCTGCCCCGGACACCATGCCTGTGTTAAGTCTAACAATATGATGAAAACCCCCCGCTCCCTCCGATCCGCTCCTCATTCCCGGCACTGTCCCCTCTTCCAGGTTTGGAGGACTACATGAGACGGTACGGGGAGGGAATAGCCAGGCTCCTGCGCTCCTTCGGGCCGGTCCCGGACTTCTTCGGAGAGCCGGCCAAGCGTGTCGTTAAGGTAACCTGGAGGAACCTTCGCTGGCGTTAGCTGAAGGTCAAGATAGGACACATTAAGCTCATTTACAGAAACCTGAGTGTAAAACTCAGCCACTATTTACTTATTGACCTTTTTGTAATCTGTAGTTGCTTCCTGTTAAAGCAGGTTGATGATGTTTTTGTCTCTGACTTGGTGAAAGCCAGTAGTTCCTGCTTGCACAGACATTCCCCTGGCAGTCACAGTTGTCTAACTTTTAAGGCTGAAAACAGCTGCAATGAAGCTGGAATAGTTTAAATTGATCTAATTAAGCAGGAAGGGGAAAAATCCTTCAGTCTGATTTGATGGTGATTGTAACAAACTATCTGTCCTGTGTGACATTGTATTTGTGTGAGAGTGGAAGCCAGCATGATTTCTGGAAAACCCTGGTTTTAACACTTTAACAGAATAACACACATTAACACACAGACACTACCTTTGACAACCTGGTTGATTGTCCACCGGTTGAGCCCTTTAGCTCCTCTGTTGTCGTTAAACCGGTACAGAAGAAACTCCAACATGTCCGGTCGAGGCCGAGTCACTCTGCCTGACACTCTTCATTTCTTTGCTCTCACTCGGTTCCCCTGCTGATGTCTCCAGGAGATGTGTGAGCTTATTCCCAGCGACCAGCAGCATCTGTCAGCCAGGAAGGAGAGGAGGGACCTGCTGCTCATGCACCTGGCTAAGCTAAAGAAGGACCACTGAGCTCAACGAGCGAAGGCCAGAGTTAAGACGGACTGCTGAAATCAGGAAGCGCCTTATTCCACTGTCAATCAATGCGACTGATAAGATGAAACTTCTGAAGATTTCTGTGAGATTTCTCTGTAAATAATTTCTTGGGGTTAATCGTAATTGTTCAGCATTCAAAATGCTGACATTATTTTTGTGAGCTTGCTTTAGTTTTCTCAAATCTGTAGATTTTTTTGTTAACCTGGCAGGTAAAAACAATCACACTTAATGTGAGGAAGAATCAAAAGACAAATTATGAGATGATGTTTTGATAAATAAAACTAAGGAACTATTCCAGAGTTGCCTCTTTTATTGTACTTTTTTATTTTATTTTAAGAAGACCGCTATTGTGCAGAGTTGATTTTTTTTTTTTTCTCAACAGAGTTTCTATCAACACAGAGCTGCGTGGGACAGCAGGAAATGAGTGGACCAGGAGTTTTGAGTGGATTTCCTGTTTTGAAATCATTTTATCTGCTTCCATGAGATCTTTAGTTTCACTGAGATTTCTAAGCAGAGTCCAAACGTCAGATGTTTGAATCATGGCTGAGAGTAAGGAGCAGAAATGACTGATCATGACGGCACTCTGATCACAGCAGGCCTGTCACTGTAACAAACTTTGCTGGACGATAAATTGTTCCAGAACTTATTGCGATAAATGATAATATTGTTGTTTTGAGACCATTGTCAAGTAATAATGGCATAATAATGCAAGAATATATTCTCAAAGATTAATGAACTTTAAATTCTAATGAACATTTAAACACTGGAACTGGAAGACATTTAAGATATTCAAAATAAATAAAGAAAACAACAGAAACAACAAATAAAATGAATTATGAAGTCTCTGTAAACAAAATGATCTTTCAAAAAAAGGGATAGTTGAGCTCAAAGCACCAGGTTGACGACTTTTATCATTCAGTTTTTGGTAAAAAGAGAGAGAAAAGAAAAGGCTATAAATCTAGCAAATGAAAATTATTGAGTTTCTTTTAATTTATCATGTGATTAAATGATTTATTATTTATTGTGACAAGCCAGGGATGTGTTTATCTGCATATTCGGTCTTTTAATACTCGTCCGAGTCATTTAAGATGCAAAACTCAGTCTGATAAGTGACTAAGTTTTTAGTCACTTATTAAATGTTAGAGTAAACATTTAGTTTACTCTAAATGTAAACTTACATTTAGAGAAGACCAGTAGAATAAGTTACATGAACCTGATCTAAACATTGTCTTAATCTTTTTTGTATCTGTTTTACATCGAGTCAATTTGTCACAACAGGGTTAACGTTGAAGAAAGTGGTTATATTATGCTACATATATAATTTGAAACAGTATTTTAATAACAAAAAACGAAAACTTACAAGGTAAATTGCAGGAAGAGCAGGAGAGAGAACAGGTGATGTAGCGGAAAGATTCAGTGAAAACCAGAGGGCTGACAGACTGAGGCGGTGGGGGTGGAAGATGACAAAGGAGGCAGGTGAACTAATCCGAGGAGATGTGGGGCAGCTGCGGTGGGCAGTAAGCACAGGAACTGAGGGAGAGAGACTAATTAAAACAAAGGAAGCTGGCCTAAGACGGAAAGAAACTACAAACAAAGGCGAAAACATTGACCTAAGGGAACTAAATTCAGATGCACAAAGAGCAAAACACAAAAATAAACTAAGTAACTAAACCCAAAGGAAGGAGCCAACACTGCAACATCGCTGGAACAAAAATAAACATGGAGAAACAACATGGCAACAAATATAAATAAGCCAGGACACATGAAAACAAATAACCCAAGCATCCAAGGGTCACAAGGAAAAGTAGTCAGACGTATCACCTTGTATTAACTAAAGCCATGTTGCGGTTAAATTAAAGCATGTTGCCATCAGTTTGGACAGAAGCTCCTATTGTATAGTCCATGTGTAAATTTTCAGTTGTTTAAAGGTTCAATTAGAAATTAAATGTCTTCATGGACGTTTGGGAAACCTGATGCCATTAGCAGTACCACAGGCAAAAATATTTAATATTAAATATTTCAAAAGTGTCTAAAAGGGTAAGGCGACCCCCAAATGGATACAGCTGGATTTAATTTAATTAGTCTACAAATATTTCAACCCAGTTAAATGATTAGGAAGTGGAGCTGTTCCTATCAGTCATGAATCTCTTGGAACCTCAGATGTTTCTGACCCCACCCTGAGCCTCGGCCTGGCCCGTCCCTCCCTCCGTCCCTCCCTCCCGGTCTACAAGAGGGAAAGGATGATGGAAAGCCTCCGCAGACACAGGTGCGCCTCACTCAGCGCTGCGCAAAGACGCGTCGGCGCTCGTCCGCAAACACTCTTCATTCTGCCGGGCCGCGCAGGACATTAGGACCAACTACTTCTCCTTGTTCATGGGAAAAACCTTCATCTTAATTTATAGGTCAAAAAGGGCAAAGTTACTTTACAGGAAGGTAAGTGTGGGGAACGCAGGTTGGATCTTTGTTTTTTCACACATTTTAAATTGTTTTGATCATTTTTAATCAACATTTTATTGATTGAGAAGGTATATTTGGTAGGATTCTGTTCTACAATACGAAATAGTATTACTTTGTATTGTAATGTTAACCGTGAAAGTTAATGTAGATCTCGTTAAATACGCAATTAGTGCTCAACTAATTTTGAGTGTAATATTGTTTTTTTAAACCATGTTTTAAACCTGTTATTCCTTCTGACTTAATACAGTTGTAGATTATCTTTTTTTCTTTAAAAAAGAAAAAGGATAATTGAGCTCAAAGCACCAGACTGACGACTTTTATCATTCACTTTTTAGTAAGAAGAGAGAGAAAATAGAAAAGCAATAAATCAAGTTAGGCTTTATTACAGACTCGCAGTTCAAATGACATAAATAAATTAATAATAGTAATAATAAAGAAGGTAAGAGGACATAAAAATACATAAAAAGATCCCTAATCTTTTAGGAGGCAGGCCAATGTTTTCTAAAATATAGACGTATGTCTTACTGCACCATATAACGTTAGTCAACAATAGAATAATTAGGCTCGTTTAGTCTGAAAATAGGTTAATTTCTTGACATAAAGTGGTCCATGTGGGACTTTTTAACAAAAGTCTTAATGCGTCATTATAAGCTACTTTCAATATCGGAAGTCTTTTGTTATAATAAGTGTGTCAGTGTGGTACAATACGATGTAAACAAGCTGTGAACAATATCCAGATTTCCGAGCTAGCACATCAGCTAAAGTTCATAACATTTAAACCTGATTGTAAATGTCTTCATCGTCTCATAGACGGTCACATGACCAAGATACTTGAGGTAGTAAGCTTTTATATTTTTGATAATAGTGCAATTTGTTCTTATAAATATAAAACAACATTTAAATAAAATGTCTTTTTGAAATTAATCTTTGTAAAGTCTTCGTTAGTGATGAAATGGCACCATTGCTACTTTTATAACATGATCGTTGCTAAAGCTAACTTTTGTCCATACCATACCAACTTTATTTATAAAGCACTTTAAAACAACCACAGCTGATACAAAGTGCTGTACATTAAAACACAACATAACAATTAAAAAACAACTCTTACAGTTTAAAAACAAACATTTAAAACTAGATCCCGCTGGAGTTGAAAGCCAGGTAAAATAGATGGGTTTTAAGACGAGCTTTAAAAGTCAAACTGTTTAGCTTAGCTTTGTCATATAGAGACATTACTTCTCTGAAGTTGTGATAGTTTGACTTTAAAATACACCATTCCTACATGTCTAAAAGTCTGTTGAAGGCCGTCTTGTTTTCCCCGTGATGATGATAGTGTTTTCTGTTTTTTTGTTTTTGTGCACAGTCGTCAGAGACATCAGGACAGGTCGAGTTTTCTGAGTGAGCTCAGTACGCCAGCAGGGTTTTCTCAGCCGATACTCTTTTGACCCCTACTGGAGCTTCCACGGTCCTCGTCACCACAATGAGCTGGGGGGCACTCTACGCCCAGCTGGGCGGCGTCAACAAACACTCCACCAGCCTCGGGAAGATCTGGCTCTCCGTCCTCTTCATCTTCCGCATCACCATCCTGGTGCTGGCCGCCGAAAGCGTTTGGGGCGACGAGCAGTCGGACTTCACATGCAACACGCAGCAGCCCGGCTGCAAGAATGTCTGCTACGACCACTTCTTCCCTGTGTCGCACATCCGCTTGTGGTGCCTGCAGCTCATCTTCGTCTCCACGCCGGCCCTGCTCGTCGCCATGCACGTCGCATACAGGAAGCGCGGCGACAAGAGGACCATTCTGGCCTCCAACCACACTGAAAAGTCCGACCTGGAGAACCTGAAAAAAAGGCGTCTGCCCATCACGGGCCCTCTTTGGTGGACCTACACCTGCAGCCTGTTCTTCCGCCTCATCTTTGAAGGCGGCTTCATGTACGCGCTGTACTTCGTCTACAACGGCTTCCAGATGCCCCGGCTCGTGAAGTGTGAGCAGTGGCCCTGCCCCAACAAGGTGGACTGCTTCATCTCCCGACCGACGGAGAAGACCGTCTTCACCATCTTCATGGTAGCCTCTTCGGCCATCTGCATGGTGCTGAACGTGGCCGAGCTGCTCTACCTCATCGTCAAGGCACTCCTGAGGTGCATGGACCGGTCGAACAAGAGGAAACACCCCTACACGGAGAGCGTGTCGAGGGACAACAAGAAGAACGAGACCCTGTTGTTGTCCTCCATGGATTCGTCCAGCAACAAGACTGTGAGCTGAAGAGGATGGACTCCAGATCCATCTGTGGACCTCCATTAGAGCCGTCCAGGGGGATACAGAGTCTGTATTCCTGTGGGAAAGTTTTAGTTCTGCGTCTTTACCTGCAGCAGAACTCGCGTCGACCCGAGGGAAGTGGACCTCGGCGGGTTTTGTTTTTTTTACGCGTGACCTTAAATTTTCCACTCATGCACTGTAGTGCTGTTCACAGCTGAGTGTTTTTCTTTTTTTTTTAGTTTAGTTTGAGTTCTGCCTAGCCACTTACCTAGCTTGCTCACTAACAATCAAAGCAGTTTAACAAATATTAGTTTACAATTTAAAAAAAATGCTTTAAAGCCAGAAGGACCTTCTGCGGTAATCTCAGAGGCAAATTTGACTAGACATAAAATGTGCAATAATTCCTTGCTTTATAACAATGTTTTGGGTAGAAAATATTTTGCCAAGAATCCCGATAGGAGTAGATGTAGAACCAGCATGAAGGTGCTCATAAGCAGTAAAATAATAATTTGTTCTCACGGAAAACCCCAGCAGATTGCAAAATATTAAGTGGTGCCTTGATGATTATTATTATTATTTTACACTAGAGATATGTGTTTGACTTCTGGTTGATGCCCGAAGCTGTAACAAAAGTTTAAGGGCGCTGTTGCTTCGAAGGAGAATGAGCCTACACTGACATCTAGTGGTGAACAATGAGAAGACGCGAGAATTAATTAAAGGGATTTTTGTTTTTCATCGCAATCGATCAAAGGCGGTTTGGTTAAAAATGTAGCTGTGTTGACTAAATCGTCTTTTTACGTTTACCTTGTTGTGTGTAAAAATTTAACTGAGAAGAATGCAGGCATTTCACTTTATTGAGGGACTAAAATCAATAATTTTTTTGTGTGTGTGCGACCGAAATACAAGACAACAAAATCAGACAGTATTTCCCTTTAAAAAATATTAAACGTATATAAAAAAGATGCAATAATATAGAGAACATTTTAACAGATTCATGAAGAAAGCTGTCTACCAGTCTGGTGTTCAATCAAAATGTTCATAGTGTGAAAAGTCTCTGAAAAGAATCCTGGACAGAGAAAAGTGAAGCTGCAATGAAGCTCCAGATACACAAGAGAGCCGTCATGTTTCCAGTTTAATCAACCAAATTCATCTGTTAGCTTTTGCCTGATTATAATGTTCTTAAACCATTAGATTTTTATCTTTTTTTTTTTTTTTTGGACTGAGTCTTACAAAACAAACTTGAACTTCTCACGTCTTGTCATACAGCCACAAACGTCAATGTATTTTTATTGGACTTTTATACCAAAGACGTGTATACATTTTGTGATTGTGAACATCAATTTTCAAAATTAAATAGAGAATCAAATAAGTATCTTGCCATAAATTACTGTTTGGCTTAACCCACAGCATGATACTGCCACCACCATGTTTCACTCTGCTTCACACCTAACTGGTTTGTGGTTGTATTGTGACAAATTGTGTGAGAATGTAAGCGGTGTGAATACTTTTGCAAAGTTTGCACAGATGAATAGTGTTTTCAGAAATATGTACAGTTAAATCCTAAATTATCCACAACCCTAGTAGATTTAGGTTTAAAGTAATCTGATCGTTTTTAGAAATATAATTCCACTGACTTGAAGTTATTTTAAAGTTTGGGGACCTTAAGATTAGGGTGATGGTAAGGAGGACATCCAAACTCAGAAGATTTGGAGCCTATCGGAGATCGATCAACAAAACACTTCTGGGAAGATACAAAAAGTTGGCCAGCGATTAAATATTTTTCCATTGATCACTGAGATTATTTTACTAAAATACAACTAAAAGGCTGCTTTAAAAAATTAGCCTCCTTATTCATTGTTGTATATCTTTTGTGTCATTTCTTGTCACAAACAAACGTCTTGGATGAATGGAAACAATTTGAAATCTAAATCTTCCAGCAGTATGAATTATTTTGATGGGCTGAGCTGTCATTGCTGACATTCAAACACAATTAAATAGAATCGAATGAGTATCTGTCATGCGTGTAGCTGTGTACAGACATGAGTTTTAGCTCTTTGTTTGGTTTGCCTAAATTCAAAGCTTTTCTCAGTGGAAATACGCTGACAAATACAGATGTTGCCACCTGGATCCATTTATCGCTTTTATCCACAGCTTCAGTTGCTTTTGGTTCTCTCGTCGTGTAGATCTTCACGGCGTGTGCTGACCCCGCCCCTCTCGGATCAGCTTTCAGCCTGCGCCTTATTTTATCCGGCGCTCTGATCGCGACTCGGCCTCCCGATCAAGACAAATCTCAAACCCAAACACGTCTTCGTCGTCCCTCCGTCCAGGAATAGACGTCAAGGATTAGTCACATCTGTCTGTCCAAACGGACACTCGGCTGCTGGTGACTCTGTGATTGCGCAATGACCGCTAAGTGAGATGCGCCGGCGCCAATTAGACGTGTAAATTCCCCTGTTATAGAAAGTAAAGCCGGGTTGGACGCTCGGCGTGGTTTGGTTGTGTAACAGTTGGAGTGACCCGCACAGTGTTGCACTCTGGGGATTTTAGAGTTAAAAAGAAAAAGAGAAAAAGAGAATTGTAAACCCGCTCTAATATTACCATTGACCTCCTGGTGTAATTTTTTTTTCCATCACTGCAGACTTTAAAGCTGACTTTGCTTCCACAGTAATTAACAGTTTGATTCCAACAGCTATGCAACGCTAACAGACAGTTTTTCACAGAGAGAAATGAACCAATGAGATGCTTCGGATTGTGATTTTTGTATCAGATGTCTTGTACACTTGCACTGTGATCCTTCAACTTGTTTTTTCCTTTGAGAAATTTTTCATAAATTAGTGAAAACTCAACTGCTCGACTCTTCTTATTTTTTCTTTTGCTCATTTGTTTACTGGAGGAGAAAATCAGATTATTATCATTGCAAGGTATTGAGTTTTCTGAAAAAAGGAAGTTGAGGGTCAAGTGTTAGTTCAAGGGTACATCATGACCTCTACCTGTGTGGTTCGCTGTTTATGTATTCATTTTTGTGGTGGAGAATATGCTCTTTGGCTGGGGGGCCACATTTTGACTAAATGCTACATGACAATGTTTATCTTTATGGTTCATAATAGGGTTGCACCGAAACATTGGCTCAGATTTTTTCTTAATTTTGGGAGACCTGCTGATACACGAGAAATCAATCTTTTCCACCGATGCAAAGATGTCTACCTCTGCAAAGGTCTCAAAATCAGTCACTGTTCCCTTTTGCTCTGCCATGAGAGACGACTGACTGACAGACAGGTCATGTCTGCGTGTGCACGGTTAACAATTAACGCCCTGGTGTTGCAAACTTAGCAACTTTGTCGCTGTATTTAGCAAATGTTTT